CTCAGTTTTCAAACCAAAAGTAACTTTAGCCTGTTTCGCCACTTGTAACATGATTATGCTGATAGAAAACAAAGCTTCCCATACTTCATCAGACTTTTTATCAAACAATTTTTCTTTAACATCTTGCTATGAAAATAATAATTTTTCTTTCTTATTGTTCCAATTCTCTGCAAGGTAAAATTCTTCCTCCATCCAAAAAAGTAAAGATAAAAAATTTCAATGTTTCATCATTGTATTTGCCTAACTTCATCCAGTTCTTTTTTCTGCAAAATTTTGCTGCAGTGTAAATCTTTTTAAATGGCATCACAATGCTATTAAAAATGAATTTTTTTCATAACTGGTAATAAATAACATCGGAAAAGCAACTAAATTATTATAAGCAACCCGTAAAGAAATGCTGCTTTTGTTTCCAGATAAGTTTTTTTTATTGTTTTTCTGATTCTAAATTGTTTATTTTTTGAAAACTACTGGTTACTTGCAAAATATATTTATCAATAAAGTCTTAATGAATAGTGCATATTATTTTCATGTTCTCTTTTACAGCTATACGGTGAAAGAAAAATTGAGAAAAGTTGGTAAGTGTCTTCATTTTCTAGATATTGCTTAAAAGATGGGAGGATGGGAGATCCAGATTAAAGCTATGCTTCCTTAGAAATAGGTTTTGCTTTGTTATCCGTTTATGTTCATGCTTAAGCTATCATTGATTTTAATGGTAATTCATTCATGTGTCTTGGGGTGCTATCTGCTCACTAAATTCAGGTTTTAGATTTCACCCAAACACAAACATAATCTTAAAAACTTGGCTTCTGGAAACTTCTTTTATTTCTTGAAAGCTCGCCATCGCTTCCCTTTCTCCCCATACCCTTCTACCTCTAGCTTTGATGTTAGAGTAAGGATTTGACCTTCTTTTTTGCATTAAATGAAAAAGCAAAATGGTATCAATGGCTTCAAAAAAGCAAACAATTGAGCCATACTAAAGCTTTTCTTCTGGCACTCATCATAGTATAAAAATGTCAGAACATAGACCGAAAACTCTAAGCTAGGAAATATATATACCCAGTTGTGGATCGAAATAGGCCAATCAGAAATGCAAGCACATGACTGTTAAGGTTGCCCAATCAGTGCCGCTTCCCTATTAAGATATTACAAATGGAACTCCTTCTGTTTACACAACAGCGGTCTTTTCATTTTTATATAGATAGATTCAATAATTGCTGGATGATACATGTCACCTATTTAGTTTTATATGTCCTATGATACATGTCCCTTTTAGCTTTCTCAATCCGCAAGACTGAGAAAGCTACAAGGGCATACTGTTTTATTCTCTCCCCTAATCTTTGGGTTGTGCGTCCTACGCAACCAGAATCAGACTGGCACGTCAACTTATAGAAGACGGAACTCTTTTGGGTTTGGCTGGTAGGACACAGTACTTATTCATTGGATGAAAGGACTTTTTCGTACTGCAATACGCAAAATAAAGGCAAAGGAACATTTTGCAATGGCCGGTTTTATCTGACTTTCAAATCGCAAGAAATGTTACGGATCCATGAAAGGTTTACTTAAACCGGGCACTTTTGCGTACAATTTTTTTCATCAGCCGGAAAGCTTGCGACTTTTCCCTTAATTTCAGTTACAATGGCATCCTTTGGAACCGTTTTCCAGATTTAATCTTCTTTTAATATAATTATGGTATCATTTCTAAGCTCCAGATGCTGCTTTGACTGAGTTATAGCCCAGCTCTTAACCTAGAATTTCATTATCTTATTTCACTCGCTTCTGAACATAAAATTATATTTCTAGGATTTCAAAGATTGCCTTCCTTTTCTATCAGAGTTAGTGATCTCTTGTCCTTTACAGCGTTCATTATGCTTCCGGAGAACAAAAAGGAATGATACGGCCGTGTAAAAGACAAACGAGATTGACTGTTCTGATGTTGCATAGATTTGGCTGTCGTCGTTACAATTAAAATCTGAACGCAGCCATTGGGTTAGCAGGGGCCATAGCCCTCCCCCACCCCACTTCCTTTTTTTGCAATAATAGGCTAGAAAAGCTTTTGCAAGGTTTTCTCTAACGCAACTTTGGATAGTTTACTCCTAAGTATGAGCAGTTCTTCTTTACTGGAAATGATGTGTTATGATATGATGTATTTTCTAACTTGGTTAGCTTAGTGTTTGGTTACCCTGAACCTAATTTTATCCATTTTCATAGTTATTGATATCTTCTCTGAACCAGACTATATATAAAAACTCAGTAGAAATAGGCAAGTATTTTCTAAAAGGAGCGTTTTCCGACGTTCTAAAGGACGTGGCCTCAAAAAACTTTCGGGCACACCCATTTCAGCCCCCTCCATTCTTATACTAGTGCGCGGTCCCTGAATTTCAGCCTCTTTAAACATGGTATTTATTGATGGTATTCATTTGAGGTATGCATGGAACTTATAGAATCTTCCTTTGGAATGTGTTCGCAAGGCAAAGTTTAATGTTGATCATGCTCTTTCGTGCAAGATTGGTTGCTTTGTCACCCAGCTATTGCTGCAAAACCTGGATACAACCTTCAGATCTATGGAGCTGGCGACCAGGTTGTTTAAATCAAGAAAACAGAACTTTTACCCCCAAGATTTTTTAATGCAATGGTGGTATGAGCATTTTTTCCAACGTGTGTCGGAACAAATTGCAGAAAAACATCACCAAATTTTTAGTGAGCCTCTGCTTGTTTCAAAAGAAAGCTGGGTTTCTGTTTACTCAGAACTGCATTAATTTGCATTATAGGTTCTAGGTCTCTTCTCGTTAACATGTTGTCCTTATTAGTGAACTGGGTGACCTTACGTTGGTTGATAACTTTCTCAAACTTGCGTGTGATGTTTATCAAACTGTTTATTAAACTGTTTATTTAATGGAGAATTCTTTACAGTTTAAGTTTAAATGTCACTTCTGTCAGGTAGTAATATCTGCAAGTTTTTCTTTGAAAATTGAATGAGATCTATTCACTAAAGCGATTGAGTTCTATTCGTATTACCATTACGAATTCAAGATTCACTAATATAGTTTCAACTCACTTACAGATGCCAATCTTAGAGGTTTCATGACTGCATGTTTAGCCCAAGTCGACTTCCTTACGCTGCAATATGTTGAGCCAATTGCGAACGTTTGCAAATCCAACTGGTATTAATAGGCTAAGATTTGACTGTGACGTAATTTTGATTGAAGACGTAACATGTCTTTCGATATCACTGGTTCTTGCATTGGTTTTCTACCTAAATTACAAAGTATGCGTAAATTGTAACTTCTTCGTGCCGCATAAAAATGGAAACTTGCCTTGGATCATTTTTATCATTAGATTCTTTCTAAGATTATTAAGAAGTTTTATCACTTAAATATTTCATGTTTTTGTTCATCAATAAACTTTACATCTTTTTCTCTAATTTGAATCTAAATATACTGTTTTAAATAAACTGCAGTAACATATCATTTCTTATAAAAATGATACTGCTTTAGTGACAACTTAAATCGACAGCATAAAATACTTCTTGATAAATTTGTCAACCTTTCATTCAAATCTGAATTGCTTTCATAAAAATTATTGCAACTTGCTATTTTTGGTGATTAAAAGCCTGTCAGAATTGCTGGAGTTTCCTTGTTAGGTTAATGAAGATATCATCAAGGCAATAAAAAGCGAAGGAAGTTATAGCCCTCTGCAATATGTTGATGTCTTTTTAATTATTGTCCGAGAGTTTTACTGTTATATTGCTCTCCTGGTTAAAGCTTTGTCATCTCAAGCCAATCAAAATGCATTATAACGTCACCATGACATTAAAACGACATTATGCTATGCTTTCATCTTTTTTTAATTCTAGCGTTGATTTTTGTTTTTATCGTAAAAATTCACAAAATATAGTAATGATAAGACAAGCTTTACCAAGAAGATGAAGGGGAGACAGTTTTTGGATCTCGTTGATTTCTTACATTGAATTCTTCCTTCAGATCATAAAACTCAGAGTAAAGATGGATTTTTGCAACATCAGTATATTAATGAGTGTGCATTCACTTCCAGTTTCTGCATCATAATGCCTTATAAAAACAACTATAACGATGTTTGATCAGTTAGTCGAATTAGCAATATCCAATTGCCTCTTGATACTAAATAATACATAATAATCTAAAAAAATCCATATTTTATCAAACCCCTTCACCCTCCGAAATGTCTTGCATTCAATAGTTTATCGGCTTAGATTTCCTTCTTTTTAGAGCAATTTCAAGAAACCTTGCATTTATTGCTGCTTCTTGGCAAAATACCTTTTCCAATTGAAGCTTATCGAGTTATAGACAAAGTTAAAGGCAATATGTCTCGTTGTGGATTGGTTAACGAGAACAATAGCTGGAACAATAGCCTAAACACGATTCCAGCGCTCCGCCATATTTTTTACAATGCGATAAATTGAAGGGGGACTGGAAACAACAAAAAATTGTTTATTGATCGTTATTTACTCATGTAACATGAATTTAGATCGGTAGCGAGCGAAATGTATATCGTGTTAATATGTTGCTTGCATCGAGTTTTAATGTTCGGTTCCCGTCCCCTTTGCAAGCATGTTTAAGAATTAGCCATAACTGATTTACGTGAATTTGTTATTGTTCTTTTTCTCGGCGCTTCGTGGTGTAATGGTGTTCCTTATTTACTACAAATTATCTCATTTTTCGCCGCAAGAATTCTATCGGACTCCATCGAGCTATTGTGGCCTCTTACAATTCGGTAAAGTGTTTAGCCTCGTACTCACTTTTCTAGGGTTCGTATTCAAATCTGGGTGTTAGTTGATTTTCTTGAAATCTCGATAACTTTGTTAATGATTTTAATTTTTTTTCTTTTTCCCAACAGAAACTAAAGGATGATGTTGTTTATTTTTACAAAATCTGGAGCTTTATTTTTGATCCGTTTCTTGTTTTAAAAAAATGTTTTTTAAATTCCCAAATTCCCTTACCGTTCGTGAAGTAACCCCCTAATTTTCCCTGTGTTTGATTGGCGCCAAAATCGAAGTTAGAAGGCAATCTTCGATGGAGGAATGGCTTCAAAAGATCATAAATCGGACAAGCGATCTAGGCCTTGTTTGTTTATTAGTCTGTGACATTTGTTAGTCAATCAATCAAAGTCAGGTCTTCATTTGTAAACGGCTTCAGTTTTATTCGTGTTTTATTTTAAGAAGACAGTACTTACTGTGGAAGCTCAGTCAACAACATGGCGGAGATGTTAGGACCATACGACCCTGCATCACCTAGCTTAACAACATTCTGCAAGCGAATTACGTCGGCTGATTATGAGAAAGAAGGATCTGACTATACGCAACAGGCATTGACTCAACTAATACAATATTTGGAGTACAATCCAACTTCCTATCATAACGTACTCAGAAAAAGAAAGCGAGAAGATGCAGAAAATGCTGGCGTTTTTTCATGGTTGAAAGTTAAAATGTTGTCGACCGTGTATGGAGAGGAACATTGTGAAAACATGTGTGACGAGGACTTGAGGCAGAAGCTAACGTCTTTAAAAAGTGAAATGGTTACCTCCTACAATTATGCAGAAGGTAAAAATCCTTTGAGTGAAATTTTGTTGTCTAAAATAATTTTTTGATGAAGTCGGAATCATAAAAGTCTAATATGGCTTTAAAAGTCTAGTTGACTGACCTAGGTTGACAATTTTGTTTTCATTAAAATTCTCAGTAACCTCCCAGGTCCATGAAAAATATTTTAATTAGAAACTACATTAGAATTTCATGCAAAATAACCTGTCTGTCAATTCTTATTACTACTGTCAATATTCTTATCTGATTGATTCTCTTGTTGATAGAGGCAAAAGGTTCTGGAAGACGCATCTCAAAGAGAATTGCAAACAAAATCAAACCAAAACAGACAGCTCCTTATTTCCAAACAGAAGATGAAGCTATCAAGAAAAATCTTGATTTTGAACTGTGCTCAGAAACAATCAAAACCCCTAAACAAAGACCACAAAAGACTGCAAGTGAGACAACTTCAAGCAAAGAAAGAGAAACCAACCTTATACCTAGACCTCCAGAAATGTTTTCTATTCCACCACCGCCACCACCTCCACCACCTGTAGCATCCTGTGACTTGCAAATGACAACAGCAGCACAAGGAAATGTTAATCTTTCAAAGGTATGAATGATGTAATATTATACAAAGTGTTATTGATATTTTTAGTCATTTTATTGATAAAGGAGAGACAATTGGTGCCATTTATCTTATTTTCTAAGTTTTTTTCTAAGTTTTAAGAGAATCAAGTATTTAAAATAGGCCTTCACCAGTCTTTGTAATATCAGGCATGCAATATTGAGATTAATGTTTATTCATTGGACATCTTTACCATATTTACAGTCTTTGTAATATGAAAATAGGCTGTGTGCGGCATTTCGCACGCCTTGGTTACTTTGCGCGTACGATGGCGTGTGATGCGAACCGCTTTTTATCGGTTATTTCTCATCCCTGTTGTCAAGAACTGGGTGCTGCTTTTATAGAGACCTTTTGTGTTATAAACTGAACAGAAACCAAGGTAATTGACGGAGAAACTGTTCTTGTTCTTTTTAAAGATGTTAAATTTAATTAGTCACTTGAAGAAATCTGGATTGAAAAAAAATTATATTACCCGTAGACCCTACTCAAATTCTATTACCTGGAATATCTTAGCGGATATTCATAAAAAATATCTTACTGTTAGATCGGTATTCCTTTGGAATTGAGCTAACAATCAAATGAGAAGGAATGGGTAGAGAAATGACACAAACGTCAAATTGAACACACTTTCTTTGGGCACAAAAACAAGTTTAAAATAATTTAAAAATAAGTACAGCCACCGTCACTTTTCTTCATCAGAGCTTTCTTCAGCTTCCTCCTCCTTATCTAGCTTCGGTTTCTTCGATAAACTGTTGCACTTATCCTGCTTTCGCTTTCTGCTTTTCGAAAGATAGATCTCTGTTGCCCTTTTCCATATAATATTCCATATATAATAGTTCATATAATTTCATTGACTGCGATGCGAAGTCTCATCTCCATAACCCTGTGTGACATTATCTGACAATAATATGCTGAGAATACTGAATGCTCTCTCTACCGATGAATTGGAGCCAGATATTGCAACCATTATCTTTGCCAGAATGCACAGGTTGGGGTACTCGTCTACCCTGTAAGAAAGTGTATTTTTTCACAGCTTTCTTGCTTCAATCCCACAAGCATTATATTGTACATATTTTTTGAATGACTTCAATTCCTTGAGAGCTTTCGAAACATCAAACTTTGTCTCGCTGAGGGGGGTTTTGAAAATAGCTGCAAAAGCAGTGATCTCTGGGACCCCATAATCATTGTTGTTGTTCCATTGCTTTTGATCAAACAACTTTATCGTACTAAACACTCCATCAGCATCATCGAAGTAGCATCATCCTTTTCCGACTTGAAACCGAAAATTTCGTTCTTTCCCCAACCAATGAATGTTGCCAGCTCCACTTTGTTTTTTTTCGCCATGATTACCAAAGAACAGAATAATCAATCGAACAGTGAAAACATCTCTTGGATCGAAAATTTAAATTACCGGGTTTTGACAGTAAGCACCAGGTATTGATGGCTGACTAATCCCCCTTGGGTCAACTGTTAAGCGATCTTGTCGTATTAACTGTTGAGCGATCTTTTTGACGCTGTTGTTAAATCTCTTATGGGAATACTTTAGCAACACCTTGGACAACGGCCAAACCGACTTTGAGTTAGTTTGAGTTGAGCAATTTAAAAACAAATTTGTGGCAAATTCTTTGTTTTGCGCGTGCGATGATTAGCACGCCTTGGACAATTTGCGCGTGTGTGGAGGCGTGCGCGTGCAATCGCACACCTCATATTACAAAGACTGTATTTATGGTAAGGTTTAAAAGTAAAGTTTGACTTATAACAGGCCTTGCTCTAAGCAAAATGAAGGTGCTTTATAAAAAGAGCTTCTTAAAAACTCTAGGTGACCTATTTCACACGTCTAATTAAAATATCCTTTAGAGCATCCCTCAAAAGTTTTGAAAGATCGTGAGCTTCATATCGAGAGCTTCGGAAGAGTGTTAAATAAGAAATTCAACCGTGATTCCAAAAAGCACCCTAATATGAAATAACAAAACATGCAACAAACACTATGTTGAAATAAATATAGAAATATATATAATAAAACAAAGTCGCAAAATTGTTCAGATTTTTCTAGATACGTAAGTTGTCATCATTTGATAAGCTTTTATCACTGTCAGTATCACTACTGTTATGTTCAGTTTCACATATTGCCTCATCAAAACGCATGGCTTTAAGTTGAACATTTAACTTTGGTTCCTTTTTTATGCTATCCATACTCTAAGACACACAAATGAAAACTGAAAAGCAATGTTATAATTTGGATGGAAATGTGATCGTTGATTTATGTTAAGGCTTAGGTTATGTTAAGCTATTAAAAGAAACAGAAAACAATATTTCAACAGAATGTTAACGCTTGCTTGAAAATCAAACAGATCTGCTGGAGAATACGCTTGATGGCCTGTGTCCTTGATGGTTATTAGAGGGCTATTAGATTCAAAATAGTATCGAAAACCCAAGGTTAAATTTGCTGAATTTTTTCTCAAGGGGTAATCTTAGGCAAATCATAATATTGAGGTCTGTTGGGAAGATTGCTTATTTGTGATCAAGTTTATCCAGCAAATGTCAAAAATTTATTTTCCTCCATGGTAATATTGTTTTTACATTTTGAGGGGCTCTATGAATTGCTATCGAGACTTAAGGTGTGATTTAGGCATGTGCGCTCGATCAAGCGCCTTTCCGGGCAAGGACTGTTATAAGTAAAATTTTCTATGTGTGCTTATCTACTCATGTGGGCTATTTTCTATTTATATGACTTATCAGATTGATCCATCATCTTGCCATTAACAGGCCGGCAGCAGGTAAAAAATTGTTATTAGACTAATCAAACTAATTACGCTGTAAGCCATCCCTGTTAACAGACCTTGCCTGAAAAGGCGCTGGTGCTCAATCGAGTGCAAGTGCCTAAAAGTACACATAAAAGTAGCCATGGAGAACTATTTTACGAGCACCTGAAACATAAAGCCATGTTGTCCTGCAGCAAAATATTGTTTTAAGTAAATGTTGATAAAAAACTTGAACAAACTTTTCAATTGTCTAGAATATTTTGGTTTCTAAGATTTATACAAAAGTTTATACCACTTATCTTTTGATGACTAGATTTTGTATCTGGTTTTTTAAGGCCACATCTAAAAGAATACCTGTTTTCAATCAAAACTTTATTTTCTATGCATAGAAAACACACAAAAAATTTGAGAGCTGAATCATTTAACAACACAATGATATTTCCATATGCATTGTTTCCATTTGGACGCAAAACCTTAGACACATTTTCATGAAGAAAAAACGCAAATTTTTTCCAAATGGCAATTTTACAAAGAAGTGTGTAATGGAGTGTCTTGAGTTTCTGAGAAGTTTGTTTTATGAAGCACCTTTATTTTGCTTAGAGCAGGACCTGTTTTTATACAGTTTTGGTGGTTGCTTCTGCATACTTTTATTTAACTAGAATTCTTTTTAAAGGCCCATACTATGAAGAAATTGAAGGAAAAAACAGCAATACCAGCAAGGATAAATGAAGTGAAACTGAGACCAGTTACAAGGTGAGTGTATTAGGTTCCAGTTTTAGGTTGTTGCTGACTCGATTTATTGTTTATTAAGGCCCTGTTGCAATAATCATATAATTGTCTGCTTATTCTTATTTTGATTTACTTGAAGATCTTGTCATCTCATTTTCATGTTGTTTGAATATTCTTGTGATGAAAGAGTGATACTCAGTTTTCAATATCTTTGGAATAGTTTTACAGTTTTAACATGCGAAAATAATTCAAGAATGATTTGCCCAAAACGCAAACATGTCCTGCAAGAGAATGAGAGGCCATAAGTATTTTTGGTCTAGCTGGTCATTAGTTTGGTGAAACTGCAGCATGGTCATATAGCATCTGAATTCTTTGTGGATATTTTTATGATTTTTTTTTCTGACTGATAGGGAAAAGGCTGGCTTATGTGACAACAACCAAGTAGAAAGTTGTGGTATTGGAAATATTGATCTCATGAGTTCATTAAAGAATCCTCAGGTTAGGGCATCATTAAAAGCTGTCAGGTAAGGTCAATAAAGTCTTCTGTTTATGATTTGTTTCTGAAGCATAATTTTAAAAGCAACAGCATTGTTCATTTTAGAAAAATGGGGAAATATCAGCTCATTGAATTTTGATTTTAATGAAAATTGCTATTTTACTGGTGTGACACAAAGTAGTAAATGCTGTATCAACAGATCTGTACACACTTTGGTGTCGAGTATATGATTTTTCTTAAAAAATAACAAAAATGATAATGATAATATCAATACAGGATAGGCCTTTTCAGTACAATGAAATACTTATCAATTAGGGTCTGATATATTACGCAGGTTTCTAACAAAACATTCATGATTTTGATTAGAAATACATTAAGAATCAGTTCCCCTTGAAAAACAAATGTTTTTACCAGCTTCTGATTTGACGTTTGGCAATATAATTAGTTGCCCAACCCAAGGGAGTTTCATGCTTGATGCAATTAGGATTGTCCAGTTCTATGCACCTATTTATATTTAAGCCTTGCAAAACCTTGCAATTATCATTTTTTGTAAAATATACATGTTCTCAGTGTCTATCAATGTTCTTTAACCCTACATCAGGCCTTTCTTTTGGCAAATTAGGTAGAAAATCATTTTTGAATAAGATTTAATCAAATCAACATGCAGTTTGCAAGAAATCTCTATTGTCTTTTGGGTTCAAAAACAGGGAACAATTCTAATGAGTCATTCTTCCTCTCACACTTTTTTCTTTCCACAACTGAATGTCAATTTCTGTTAACCTTAACTCATTTCTCAATGTATTAGCAAAAACCACAGTATGCTGCTGTGTTGTGTATTTCCTTTCTTATACTCGCTTAAATGTTCAATCTTTATTGTTAATTATTTAATTTTGTAAGAAATTGAGGAGGCTGTCTCTTAAATTTCCATTGTGATCTAAATGTCTTTAAGCAGATCTAAATTTCTTTAAACTGCCACTTTGATATAAATGATTTTGTTTCATAATTTTTCATCAATATTTGGTAGTCAGTCAACAAGATACATCTCCTTTGATCATAGTAACAAAGATTTCACACCATATCAACTAAGGCAAAGAACCAAAGCAAAAGAGACAGAAAAGGAAAACGAGTTCCCTATCTTCAATCAAGAACTGATTGCTAAGTTTCAAAATGCCAGAAGTCCTGATACTCCAGAAAATTCAAAATACATGTCTGATATCAGTTCCCCAGATTCTTTTCTTGCATCCCCCTAACATAAAGTAATTGAGGACTATTATATATAAGAATTTCTTAATGTTGTGTTTCGAGTTGTAAATTTTGATTTTAGAGTCCCCTTTATTTGCTTGCTAGCTATATTAATGGAGTATAAAAGAATTGGCAGCTTACCACCAGCTGGCAGAATCTGACACATCAGGAATTTCAATGGCCCTTAGGCCTTCATAACTAAAAATTTGGAAATTCGAAGTATAAACAAGTCTTATGAAAGTGACAACTTGCTCAAAAATATTTTCAATCAACAAGAAACATTTCGTTTCCCTAGTTTTGCAGTTTATTGCAAAATGAGAAAGATCAAGACCTCCACAAAAATTTGTATTTATAAGCAGCTTTTCTCGCAGATAGAGTTTATCAGCTATAGGGTTTTCATAAATTCGAACACTGACTATGTAGATCTGCATTTCCTCCGGTGTCTTTGGCCTGATTTTGACAGGCTTGCTAGGAATATGAACTGAAGGAGAATAGCTTCAATTGCTAATACAGGACGTTTTTGAATTGCAGCACATAGGGAAAATTGTGTTCTCTTTAAGCTCTAGTTCAAAACACTAGAAAATTTGTTTCAGATTTGGAGACATAAATGAATAATCTTATACGGGGAAATTACCTTTTGAACCAGAAGGGTTGTAGTTCTTAATTGATATACTGTGACAGTTTTACACTGAAATATGCTTTCAAATTTTGCTCAGCAATTCCTAGCTTGACTATGGTACGAAACGTTTTAAATCCCCTCCCAAGTAAAAAAGGTTGCCTGTCCCTGGTTTATAGCCTAAAAATTTAAAGTCCAAGCCATGACTTTGAATCTTTCTGTATTTGCAGCATGCATATGATTCTTTTTATGAATAAAGAAATGTGTTTTTCTATGAAATGAAGGAAATAGGTTGTAAATTATGTAAACTGTACTGCATAATGTTTGCATTTGATGGAACTGAAAAATACGTGTAGCTCTCTAAAGTTTATAAATTTTGAGGTTGTCTTTTTCATTTATAAAAGTTTTTGATCTTAATTTGTTGTAAAAGATTCTTATCATTTTCGTATGTCATATTTTTTTATTATCTACTTTGTTTCCCTATTTTGCCTTTACTTTAAGTTAAACCTACCACATTATCAAGCTGTGCTGTAAATCGTTGAATGATTAAACTGCAACGATTTTGTTTCAATTCAAGCATCCGTATCAACTTTAAATTTAACTAGTACCAAAATTTGCCCTTCTTTTTTGCATGCTACGCCGTTACAGATGAAATAAAAGTTATGAAAAAATGAAATTACCAAACAGCTGGAAATAATAAGCATCTCTCTACAATTTTACTGTTTGTGACCCACCATCTCAAGACAAACCCCCCCCCCCCTCCTCCCCACCCTACCCAGTTCTGGAAGTTCACGTCTCAACAATGGTTGCCAAGCGTCTCGTCGGGCAAGCCTCGCGTAATCCCGGCCTCTCGTCAGTCATTAAAGTCTTTTCGTTCAAACGCATCTCTCCCACAATCCGGATTTTGAAGATCGTTGTGGTCTCGAGCTATTTGAGGAAGGTTCATACGAGATAATAACCATGTGTTCGGAAGGTTTTTGTGTTTTATTATGAGAATACTATAAGTTTTTATGTGATATGATTTCTGGGGAGCATAGCCCGACTTCGAACAGGAGCCACGATTTTTGAAAAGATATTGCAGCCATGCAAGTCCCTTTTCTGAACAGGGCAAAGCAGGCAACTACTGAAAAATGAGACAACAATATTCGTACTCGTATAATATTCTTAAACATTTCTGAGTCTGAATATTCTTATAAACAATATTTTTATAAAATGAAAGAGTATATAGGATATGCCAACAATCATCTAATGGACCTTATCATTGCAGTTCAAGCAGTGATGTTAGCTGAAGAAACTTTAGGCACATTGTATGGTAGTTAATAATTGGTATTAAGCATACAAGTATTATTACTCTTTCTCTTAAAAATTAGAGGTCTTCTTCCACATAACGGACACGTTATTTGGCTAACTTTCCCTTGGATAATTTTTATTTTGAAATAAAGGTTTCAACAGTCTACAATTGTTATTTTATTTCCATATATTAGATACAATAATTAACAAATACTGATAAACTAATTTTTAACGACAGTCTTGAAAATTACATCTTTGCCGAGGTTCTTTTCTGCGTCTCTACACCAGAGCAGTCACCATTATGAAGAACCCTGTAGCCCCAAACAACGCTCTAATACTGTGACCCTTTGACCAACCTGTAAACATACCGTGTACATGTTCTGGGCCTTTAGATGCTATTTCCTCTGTGTTTTGGCACATTGGCACACGATATCTTGGATTTATGTGGGCTCTAGTTAGAGGCAGGATAAGACCCAGGACTGCAGAGCTGGCAAGCCAGTACGATCGCTTTGGAGCGCCTTTTGATAAAAAGAATACCGATGTTGATCCGGTCATTGCAGCTATGATGAGTGGAACCTACAACGATATATATATCTCAAAATTACATAACAAACTACCTGATGCGTTGAAACAAGAACAGTCTGTAATGAATTTCAAGAGACAATACGATCAACTTGACAGTGAGTTTTAACATTTAATTATGTAATTTTCAGATATTTTTTAGATTTGATATTGTTTTTTGTGATTTCAATTTTCTTTTTAACTTTAACTTTAACATTTAACAGGATCTTAACTGATAGCAGCTTCTAAGCAAGCCGACCAAGTATATTATCTTGTATAGATATAGATTATTATTATTATTATTACGCTAGATGACTCAAACCCCCATAACTCGAACAATCGCATTGACACACTCGCTATCTCGAACCAATTCATTGGTCCCTTGGATGTATGAGTTATCGGGAGTTTACTGTCCTAAAAGAAAGAACAAATTTTAATTTAAGATTCAAATCTTAGTTTCAAGAACAGATGAGCGGTGCAAAAGAATATTTAAAGCGAACTACGGCAGGAAGGCTCATGAATAAAATGATATTTTGTATAATAGCAAAAATTATTTTTTATTTGTTGGTTGAAGTGTTTAAAAGAACCTCTTCATTCTTTCAAAAATTCTTGCTCGACAAACTGTCTTTGCAAAGAATTTTATAAAATTGTGTTTCAGACCTAAAAATATCAATAATTATCATTTGTCGCTAATCTCAGTGGACACGGACATTTAACGTGTATCATGTTTCGTGTGGTCGTGGATGCATTTGATAAGCGCACGTTCACCCGTGTTATGTCACAAGCCCTATTCCTACTAAATCAACAGCACTGAACATGTTTTTTATCACCAATACCCTGATATCTTCAAATGGCATTACAGTGTCGTCGAAACGCAATTTATTGGAGTAGGGGGGGGGGCAGGAACATATGTGCTCCTGACACCGGCACGATGCCAAGGGCGGGCACGGGGGCATTGTCCGCCTAACTAGAATTTTTTGTCTCTCTGTACCGGTTCAAACATTTCAAGATGAAAACATTTTTATGTCAAAAAGCTTAGAAAACGGCCTCTTTATAATGTCGAAAAAATTCAGTCTCAACAAAGTCCCTGCATCTATGCATTCATGGTGAAAACCACCATCGACTTTGCGCCGGTCCAAAAAATATCGAGTCAATCCAACTGCTGATATGCTTCAGCCTGCGTTAAATGCTTTTGCAGTTTGTCACTGCAGTTTGATGTCCTTTTAAATGTGGTAAGGCTCCGTTGCACCTATCATAATGGCTTAGCTCCCTTTTACATTTGGTTTTGGATTTATTCTGTTAAAGGCTATTAAACTGCATACATACTTGCATCTTCTCTACATGATTATGCATGAATCTAAAGTGTCTCATTGCTGTTTTGTGGCCGTCTGGTAATTCTTTAGCCATAGAAAATCTTGTTGGGGTATCCACTGCACGCATGAAAACGACTCCCCCCGCAAACAGCCCTGCCGAATAGACAGACGCAATCTTGAGTCCTTTGATAAGCGTGCCTCTGGTAGCCATTTTGAGCTGGACTGGACATGTATGTGTTTCTTTGTTTCCACCAAACAATATAAAACAACGCTTGCTTCTGCTAATCCATTATTTGAAAGAAACCTGCAGCCTCGTAATCACTTAATCTTACTTCCGCTTGTTTAGCAGATACTATTACATTCTATTACATTACATTTTATAAGCACCGCTCTCACCAGAGTGGTGCTTATAGTATAACCATGCAACTACTTTGAACAGCTAGTACAAAAGATTTGTTGTCATAAAGATGAGAAGCTTTGAAATTTCAAATATAAAGAATAAGTGCGTAGAAGGGAAGGGACCCTGATGTCAGCGATAAGCCGTTTCTTAAAGCATACTTCAGCTATACTCTCGACAAAAGATTATTTTGTACTTAAAGTAGACAGGCATCTTTCACGCGAGGAGCATGTAGCATGTTGCAGATTGTTGGGGGCGGGGGCTAAAAAGCTTTAGAGATGCTAACCATGCAAGAACAACCTGATTTTTATGTAGATCTAAGTTCATTTTGGAAATCATTAAGGACTGCTAAGCTCCCTCGACCTTAAGCACCCGCCACTTCTGTGGCCCCTCCTTTGACCTCCTATAGGGCAAAATATGAAGATATTTGTGTGGCAGATACTAGAAATCATCTAAGTTGGATGGTAAAAATTGAATTCTCTCAGAAAAGAGGGTCTATTTGGGGTGAACTTTTCTTCGAAAAAGGAAAAACTTGGTAAAATAGTCAACTTTTGAACTCAAAATTTTTTAAATCATAGGATAGAATCCAAGTAGAACGACAAAAAACATCTTAGTTTGATGCGGAAAGTTGAACTCTCTAAAAAAAGATAAACTATTGGGGGTAACCGTTTTTTAAAGAAAGGCCAGGTTATCACCATGGAAAAATGGTCGACTTGTGACCTAAAATCATTTTTGGTCAATCGTGCTATAGAGTCGATGTAAAATGATGAAAAACACTTGGAATATTATTAGTTAGCTACCAAAATGTGAATTTTCTAAGAAAACATGATCTGTTTGGTGTGATCCATTTTTAAAAAAAGGCAAGACTATGCCTTACGAAAATGGTCCATTTCTGAACTAGAAACATCTTCTCAGTCATATCATAGAATTAATAACAAATGATAAAAAACAACTAGAAACACTCTTAGTTGGATGCTTAAGACTGAATTGTTTAAGAAAGTATAAAGTATTTGGGTTGATCTTTTTTGGAAAAATAGCAAGGTTATAGCCTTGGAAAATGATAGACTTATGAACTAAAGATATCTTCTCATACATATCATAGAATTAATAACAAATGATAAAAAACAACTAGAAACACTCTTAGTTGGATGCTTAAGGCTGAATTGTTTGAGAAAATATAAAGTAATTGGGTTGATATTTTTTGGAAAAAAGGCAAGATTATAGCCTTGGAAAATGATCGACTTATGAACTAAAAACATCTTCTCCTACATATCATAGAATTATTAACAAATGATAAAAAACAACTAGAAACACTCTTAGTTGGATGCTTCAGGCTAAATTGTTTAAAAAAATATAAAGAATTTGGGTTGACCTTTTTTGGAAAAAAGGCAAGGTTATAGCCTTTGAAGATGATCAACTTATGAACTGAAAACATCTTTTCAATCATATAATAGAATTAATAACAAATGATAAAAAACGACTAGAAAGACTCTTAGTTGGATGCTTCAAGCTGAATTGTTTAAGAAAATATAAAGTATTTGGGTTGATCTTTTTTGGAAAAAAGGCAAGATTATAGCCTTGGAAAATGATCGACTTATGAACTAAAAACATCTTCTCATACATATCATAGAATTATTAACAAATGATAAAAAACAACTAGAAACACTCTTAGTTGGATGCTTAAGGCTCAATTGTTTAAGAAAATAGAGAGTATTTGGGTTGATCTTTTTTGGAAAAAAGGCAAGGTTATAGCCTTGGAAAATGATCAACTTATGAACTGAAAACATATTTTCAATCATATAATAGAATTAATAACAAATGATAAAAAACAACTAGAAACACTCTTAGTTGGATGCTTAAGGCTGAAATGTTTAAGAAAATATAAAGTATTTGGGTTGATCTTTTTTGGAAAAAGGCAAGGTTATAGCCTTGGAAAATGATCGACTTATGAACTAAAGACATCTTCTCATAAATATCATAGAATTATTAACAAATGATAAAAAACAACTAGAAACACTCTTAGTTGGATGCTTAAGGCTGAATTGTTTAAGAAAATATAAAGTATTTGGGTTGATCTTTTTTGGAAAAAAGGCAAGGTTATAGCCTTGGAAAATGATCAACTTATGAACTAAAGACATCTTCTCATAAATATCATAGAATTATTAACAAATGATAAAAAACAACTAGAAACACTCTTAGTTGATGCTTAAGGCTGAATTGTTTGAGAAAATATAAAGTATTTGGGTTGATCTTTTTTGGAAAAAAGGCAAGGTTATAGCCTTGGAAAATGATCGACTTATGAACTAAAGACATCTTCTCATACATATCATAGAATTATTAACAAATGATAAAAAACAACTAGAAACACTCTTAGTTGGATGCTTAAGGCTGAAATTGTTTAAAAAATATAAAGTATTTGGGTTGATCTTTTTTGGAAAAAAGGCAAGGTTATAGCCTTGGAAAATGATCGACTTATGAACTAAAGACATCTTCTCATACATATCATAGAATTATTAACAAATGATAAAAAACAACTAGAAACACTCTTAGTTGGATGCTTAAGGCTGAATTGTTTAAGAAAATATAAAGTATTTGGGTTGATCTTTTTTGGAAAAAAGGCAAGGTTATAGCCTTGGAAAATGATCGACTTATGAACTAAAGACATCTTCTCATACATATCATAGAATTATTAACAAATGATAAAAAACAACTAGAAACACTCTTAGTTGGATGCTTAAGGCTGAATTGTTTAAGAAAATATAAAGTATTTGGGTTGATCTTTTTTGGAAAAAAGGCAAGGTTATAGCCTTGGAAAATGATCAACTTATGAACTAAAGACATCTTCTCATACATATCATAGAATTAATAACAAATGATGAAAAACAACTAGAAACACTCTTAGTTAGATGCTTAAGCTGAATTGTTTAGAGAAAATATAAAGAATTTGGGTTGATCTTTTTTGGAAAAAAGGCAAGTTTATAGCCTTGGAAAATGATCGACTTATGAACTAAAGACATCTTCTCATACATATCATAGAATTATTAACAAATGATAAAAAACAACTAGAAACACTCTTAGTTGGATGCTTCAGGCTAAATTGTTTAAAAAAATATAAAGAATTTGGGTTGATCTTTTTTCGAAAAAAGGCAAGGTTATAGCCTTGGAAAATGATCAACTTATGAACTAAAACATCTTCTCATACATATCATAGAATTATTAACAAATGATAAAAAACAACTAGAAACACTCTTAGTTGGATGCTTCAGGCTAAATTGTTTAAAAAAATATAAAGAATTTGGGTTGATCTTTTTTCGAAAAAAGGCAAGATTATAGCCTTGGAAAATGATCGACTTATGAACTAAAACATCTTCTCATACATATCATAGAATTATTAACAAATGATAAAAAACAACTAGAAACACTCTTAGTTGGATGCTTAAGGCTGAAATTGTTTAAAAAATATAAAGTATTTGGGTTGATCTTTTTTGGAAAAAAGGCAAGGTTATAGCCTTGGAAAATGATCAACTTATGAACTAAAACATCTTCTCAATCATATCATAGAATTAATAACAAATAATAAAAAACTAGAAACACTCTTAGTTGGATACTTAAGGCTGAATTGTTTAAGAAAATATAAAGTATTTGGGTTGAACTTTTTTGAGGAAAAGGCAAGATTATAGCCTTGGAAAATGATCGACTTATGAACTAAAACATCTTCTCATACATATCATAGAATTATTAACAAATGATAAAAAACAACTAGAAACACTCTTAGTTAGATGCTTAAGGCTGAATTGTTTAGAAAAATATAGAGTATTTGGGTTGATCTTTTTTGGAAAAAAGGCAAGGTTATAGCCTTGGAAAATGATCGACATATGAACTAAAAAATCTTCTCATACATATATAGAATTAATAACAAATGATAAAAAACAACTAGAAACACTCTTAGTTGGATGCTTAAGGCTGAATTGTTTAAGAAAATATAAAGTATTTGGGTTGATCTTTTTTGGAAAAAAGGCAAGGTTATAGCCTTGGAAAATGATCGACTTATGAACTAAAGACATCTTCTCATACATATCATAGAATTAATAACAAATGATAAAAACAACTAGAAACACTCTTAGTTAGATGCTTAAGGCTGAATTGTTTAGAAAAATATAAAGTATTTGGGTTGATCTTTTTTATAAAAAAGGTAAGGTTATAGCCTTAGAAAATGATCGACATATGAACTAAAGACATCTTCTCATACATATCATAGAATTAATAACAAATGATGAAAAACAACTAGAAACACTCTTAGTTAGATGCTTAAGCTTGAATTGTTTAGAAAAATATAAAGAATATGGGTTGTTCTTTTTGGAAAAAAGGCAAGGTTATAGCCATGGAAAATGATCGACTTATGAACTAAAGACATCTTCTCATACATATCATAGAATTAATAACAAATGATAAAAAACAACTAGAAACACTCTCAGTTAGATGCTTAAGGCTGAATTGTTTAGAAAAATATAAAGTATTTGGGTTGATCTTTTTATAAAAAAGGCAAGGTTATAGCCTTAGAAAATGATCGACATATGAACTAAAGACATCTTCTCATACATATCATAGAATTAATAACAAATGATGAAAAACAACTAGAAACACTCTTAGTTAGATGCTTAAGCTTGAATTGTTTCGAAAAATATAAAGAATATGGGTTGATCTTTTTTGGAAAAAAGGCAAGGTTATAGCCATGGAAAATGATAGACTTATAAACTAAAGATATCTTCTCATATATATCATCGAATTATTAACAAATGATAAAAAACAACTAGAAACACTCTTATTAAGATGCTTAAGGCTGAATTGTTTAGAAAAATATAAAGTATTTGGGTTGATCTTTTTTGGAAAAAAGGCAAGGTTATAGCCTTGGAGAATAATCAACTTCTGAACTGAAAACATCTTCTCATACAAATCATAGAATTAATAACAAATGATAAAAAACAAATAGAAACACTCTTAGTTGGATACTACAGGCTAAATTGTTTAAAAAAATATAAAGAATTTGGGTTGATCTTTTTTCGAAAAAAGGCAAGGTTATAGCCTTGGAAAATGATCGACATATGAACTAAAAACATCTTCTCATACATATTATAGAATTATTAACAAATGATAAAAAACAACTAGAAACACTCTTAGTTGGATGCTTAAGACTTAATGGTTTTAGAAAGTATAAAGTATTTGGGTTGATCTTTTTTGGAAAAAAGGCAAGGATATAGCCTTGGAAAATGATCGACTTATGAACTAAAGACATCTTCTCATAAATATCATAGAATTATTAACAAATGATAAAAAACAACTAGAAACACTCTT